TCGCGGGTTTCTCATTGCGAGTTCGGCACGGTGGGAAACGGATTTTAGTTTTCCCACGCTTCGTAACGCTCCGGCTCCGCCCTCCAACTTCGTTCATGAGAGTTTCACGTGCGTTAACGATTATGTAAACGAAGTCAGTCAATTATACACTATTATCCGTAATACTTTCAAGTTTTAAAAAAATATGTAAATAAAATGCCTGTTGTTAAAACAATACTACCTTGTTATTATCACACGCTTGTGCGTCTTTTACACTATTAACAGATTAACTACATGTTTGCCGCATATCTGATGCGGGAAGTCGTTGTCAATTTCATGCAATAGACGTCTCGTCTGGTAGCTGATATACGGTGTATTGCGCGTACAGTACAACCACAGTATATTATAACACAAGTAAGCCAACTCCTGCCTATTCGATGCATCAATGCCTACGTTTAGCTTGGAGTGTAGGGTTGTTACATTATTATTTTAGTTGAACCTACAGGTTGTAAATCTAATTTGAAAAAATTAGGGTATTCATCATAGTGCTCTAGTGTATTGAAGTAACCTTTTACTAAATGCAGTAATGATATTTTATACCAACATCGCGGTTAGGTAACTCGATTATGAGATTATGATTATAAAATAGAAATAAAATGTTGAACAATTACGAATTTGAGGCACTCTCGTTCAAACAACAATAATTATGGACACCAATAAACACTATTTAAAAAATAAAATAAAAATAAAAGGACTACATTCTTCAACACTACAACGATACATAAAAAACTTAAAATACAAGGCTGTGTTGAAGAAAACAGCCTCAGCAATTTACTGGTTTTCAGGTTTCACTTTGTACATAATTTGATATGATATTTTAACGCTTCAATTTTATATTGAATTGCGCTTGCGATGACCCGCACTATGCAACGTGAGTGCACTACGAGATTATGCGAATGTGTGCGTCCGTACAAGGCATTAGGTTAGCGTGCACACATATAAGCCGCCACCTATCCTACTTGTCTTATAGTACAATAATGAATTTAGGATGCACTTCAGACTTCCATCTTTTTGTAGCGCGTTTATGATGTTTGCTGACTAACGCGTCGACACAATGTCTGCGCTATTATTTGAAAGCAAAACGCTACGTTGCTAAATTGCATTCGTCTCAGTACAAACGGCATCCTGAGCAAATTGGTAGATGGGTGGAAGTCCCCAATGCTGGGGCGGCGCTAATTACACTTGAATGAGATCGTCATATTGATTAAACTCTACTGCTCATTTGTAAGGCAAGAGAAAATGAGCAAGAAAATCTAGGGGTTGTTCTTTAAAAATATGTATTTGTACAAATTTATCCATTTACAATATTTATTTCAAACATCATAGACTGCTGGCAATTCGTAGTCACTTGTCCTTTGACATTGGCGAGGTACGTTGTCCTCCCACATACTAAATATCTACCTAATTATTTTAATATCAACTCTAGCCTAATACGGTGTTACTAACAAATATTATGGATTGTAAATGTCTGACATAAATAGTTATTATTATGTGTCATTTTATTCCTATTACTATAATATTTAAAAAGTTTAACGTATACAAATACCGTTTAACTTTGTTGCTAAATGAAATTTTTCAGCATATGTGATAATGAAATATTTTTTATAATGCCAAGTGATGGGATGAACAAGTCGCGCACCTGGTGGTAAGCGACACGGCTGTCCATAACAGTTGCAGTGCCGCTCAGAACTTTAAGTCGCAAAGATCCGAGGGGCACTGTTACTGCGCCCGTCCCCAGAGACGACAGTTGACAAGTCCCATGTGCCTGTAATTTCACCAGCATCCCTTCAAAACCTGAACGCAGTAATGTGAACATTACTGCTAGGCGGCAGAAATAGATAAGCCATTCCAATCAAGTCCATTTGAACTAATCTTCAAACCGGAGTGCACCATGAGCTGACGTCTAAAGTCGTTTTGGGGGTAGAAATAGGTAACAAAGGGCTCTACTGCTAGTAAAGTACGTAAATAGCTGTATTAATTCTAGTATATAATCATATATGTATTTAGTATCCTCGCGATGTTGGCTATCGAAGTTCCGGAACTTTCTGTTGTTAGAACTAATAAGATTTTTCACGTCTTAGCTGGCAAGGGTAAGAGTTATTTTACGGCCAGCTCTAAGTAAGTATGTATAGCCATAGCTATAGATGCATAGACGTTATGTAGGATTGAGTAATTTTATCTTACGTTTATTTGGTTTGTTTTGTTTGCCCGAGGGAACGAGGCTTCCTTTACTGCCTCTTCGTAGTTTGTCTCTTGTGTACCATGTACGCACATAACGTAACATTGAGGCACTAATAAACTAGGCTCAACGTCGATTGGCAACCGAAACGCAGCAGTCCTTCATATATTTTTTTGTTATTTTTCTTTTTTCACAGTTCTGTACAATTGCGCACGTAATGTTGTGGACTTTGATCTCAATCGGTTTCGAAATTCAAAATTTTTATCTATTTTATTTTCATAATATACAGGTAAGGTACAATAAAAGCTGAAATACTAGAAAGTAAAACTAGGATTCAATTATATGAATAAAATTGGGTCCCCGCGGCAAGGTGCCCAAGTTGCTGGCAGCGTTCCCCCTTTGTATGGTTATGCTAATGCGTTGGGCAAGGTAGCCGTCGGTCCTCGGGTTTCCCAGACAGTCTATTAATTTTTTGGATAAAATTTTGTTCAGATAAAGGGTACCGGGACCTCACGGGCCAAGGGTTTTCGACTCCAAAGACTGTAAATAGGTAGTCGGAGCCGAGGTCCTGGTACTCATTACTTTTTAATCTTTCCGCCAGTTCAACTGCGGAGCCAACCCTTTTGCTAGTGTGCTGGAGATGGGATAGGGCAAATGTGTCGGCACACGTGGCGTCCCACACCAGTGCCCGGCCCATACTCCAAGGGATGAGAGTCATTCCGTCCGGGCGTTTACCATGTGTTCGCGACATGCCGCTTGGCTCGAGTATAGCGGGCACATTTACCGTGGCTAAGACTTGAGGGCTGCATGCTAGGAGATACGGCCGGCGCTCAGATGGCAGGAAAGACCGTGGTGACCCAGAGAACTTACGTCTTTGCCGTAAGGACTGGACGTTTATGGTTTTGTTACGACATGTAACATTGTATTTTTGGGTGTGCCTGCCGTTAAACAATAGTAGATAATAATAAAAAACGATTTAAGCGTGAATACAAAAAACATCTTTTGTCAGAGCAGATGTGTCTCAGTACTTAGATATTTCCCTAATCTAATAATGCGTTTGATAGCTGTAAAACCTGAATTTCCGTACCTATATATATTCATATTTGGTGGCTATTGTTATAATTTAATATTATATTTGTAAACTTACATTATTATTTATATTGCTTACCTTAATTACTTACACTATTTGCTTTACATCTTACACTTTTGCTTGATATATATATGTATAGTATTTAGAGTTAGGTATATATATTTGCGTAGCATGGCTTACTGGGCTGTGATCGCTTACCATATGGTACTGGCAGAAAACCAGCACTGTTTGACTTCTCGCGGTCTACAGTATTTATGCTGAGTCAGGGCCATTTCAGCACAAACTATAGTCATAGGTACACTAAAATTTTATCAGTTCTTATAGTATTTGTTTGTTTTTCTCACAGTATTTGTCTTTCTCGCAATATGTGTTTTATATGAATGTGTATAAAATTAATAATGAATGTTCTATGTGCTTTTATGTTATACTCTGTGATGTGATTGTAAATGTTTTGTTTCTGTGTGTATTTGTGCTGAATAAACGTGTTATCTATCTATCTAATGTTTAATGTTTGGTATCATTAGCATTGTAATCCCAATGGTTTTATTTCATCTACACGATCCCGTCCTGATTAATCTTCTTTGTTCTAATCGTGTTTGAGAATAAGTTGTGTTAATGCGTTGTGCTAATTAAAAATAGGATTTTTATTTCACATTTTGGGACATGAAATAGTTCAACAAAATATAGTTTCATCAATAACTGGTCTGGTTTTTAAAAAAAATATTAAGAAGCGAAGACTTAACACATGATATTTTTAATTTAAGAGGGAGCATGCCAAAAAAGTTTTGACGTTGGCTCCGCCCAAATTTGTGAAACAAATATATGCCTGAAGTTCGCGTGACATGCGACAGGAGATGTTGAATTTTGCGCATTAAAAGTACCAAATTCGTTTTAGCGGAATAACTCTAAAACTAAAGGGATTAAAAAAAATCTGTAGTGACAGTTCTCGATCATGCATAAATATAATTAATTATCTAATTTTTGTCCTAATAACCTGTAGCATTTCGAGGATGAACCGAAAAAATGTGAAAATTAGAGGTCATTTCGTGATTTATGTATCGAGGAAACTTTATTGTTTTATGTTTCTGATTCTATGATGAATATATCGCGTAGTTACTCATACAATATTTTATTTTTAACTTTAAAGTGGATATACCCCTCTAAAATCAAATCGAAGATTAGAAATTTTTCCTCTGCTCCCTCTTAATAAATGGTTCTCTACTCGTGTGTAGGCAATATTTTATTTTCATTGTATATAACGATGTTTAAGTCTCCAACCCGCATTGAGTCAGCATGACCCATTATGGCCTAAACCCTCGCCAGAGAGGAAACAAGTGTTCAGCACTGTGACGTATAAATGGATGATGATGTTCACGACACTCGTGAATATTATGGTATATGGTAGTATACACATACTACTATAATATTTATCTGTTTTTTGTGAAATACTCTAGTCGTTTGTACAAAGATCAAACAAACACTGAAAAATTCCTTCGATCCAACTGTACTCAAACCAGTGACTGTAGCGACGTTGAGGCAAACGACGCTGGTTGGAGTCCTCGCATCGAAGGAACTTTTCTTTGTATTTGTTCGATTTTAGTATCTTCATCATTCTTCAAGCAACTGCATTGAAAAAATTCTTGAGATATTTTTCTTTCCGATGTAATTATATTTAGTGGATTGTATACTCACCTAATAGAAACTAGGATCATGGCGAAGATCAGGTATTTGCCCAGCAGGGGCACGACGAGTGAGGTGGGGGGGATGATCTCCACCACGAGCAGGAAGAACACGTGGAGGCTAATCAGGATCGATATTGACAGCGTCACCTGAACAAAATGTGTCTGTTATACGATTGTTTTTAATCTTGTACGTCAGTCATAACAAATTGTAAACTGTATTTTTCGCGAAGAAACGGTTTTTCAATATGCATTACCTAATAAGACCGCCAAGTCGCTGCGGCGCGCAAGGCGTGCAGCGGGGCGGGTACCGGTCGCGGCCGAAACGACGCGGCGGGCCCTGGGCTTCGGAAGCTCAACACTTATTTAAAGAGTTAGGTCACCGGCTCAGAGACAGGTTACGATCACTGCTCTAGGTCAAGGTTGGTTCAGCAGGTGTCCATTGCCACCCAGCGAGGTACTGCTGCCAGTATAGTAGGACCTTTTGAGCCAGGAACAATATAGGGTGGATTACAAATTTTTGACGAAATTTGTTGTAAATCCCTATTTAACTGCCTCCGTGGCTTAACGGTTACCATGCCGAACTGCCACGCAGAGGTCCCAGGTTCGATTCCCGGGCCGGAAGAAATGTTTGTATGGCTTACATTTATTTCTCTCGTGAGTTTGGGTGTAATTTGTGGTTGTCTATGTGTGTGTCCATGGCACCCGCGACACAGGGTTCCCTAGTGCGGGGTTTTGTTGAGTGTGTGCGTTATTTATTATTTATTTCTATTTTAAATATTGTTAAAATTAATAATGTTTACAGCGTGCGTTTACAGTGGTCAAGCGGAGCGTTGTAGTAAGCTTGTACGATAGCTGACTTAACATATCTAAATGCGTTAAACTGTTTTCGATAAAGCATTTGAGATGGACATTATGGAATGGAAAGATATTGATATTTAGAAGAAAATGCTTTTTTAAGGTATGACTTATTTAATGAATGTATAATTTTGAACGACATTATGGCACGATACTATTTCAGAAGGATCACATTTGCAAATAAAATATGTATATATAACTGTAGTAATACAACTGACTCAAACAGACCCACTGTACGAGATTGATTATACGAGCGCCCTCACGAGGTCCTGGACATTGGCTTGAGTTGAATATGATATTGTGGTATTTCTGATCATAAAAGTTGAAAAGATATACTAGAAGTTATTATTTTGTTTTCAAACAAAATAAAACAATCTGTGTATCGTAACCTGCGAAGATGCTTGCCTTTATTCGGCTGACTCTGATTGATCAATACATTCAACGTTCCGCTAAAACTAGTTGCATGCACGCTACACGCATCAATGCATGCCCAATGAACGGCCCGCTGCACGCCCTAATTTGCGGTCTAAGGGTTGAAATATGAAATTGCCCTTCTTTCAAGATAATTGAAATAAAAAAAGAAACATTATAGAAATCACCATTTATTTAATCAAAATATACAGCCATGATATATTATTAATACAATAATCTGCCAACTTGCAATCCACAAATTCTTGGAACTTCATTTAAGTGCTTCAAATGAAATGAATTGTTTACTTATAAATAATTATCTAAATTGTGGAGAAGTGGTACTCTTCAGGTACTTCGGGGTGCACGACAGGAACCTCCCTGCTCGACGTACCATTCCTTACACCGATTGGCATTTCCTTTCACCAAGATGGTAATCATTATAGTGTATGCCATCGGTACCTTAAGAAGCAGAAGACAAGTTCTTCAGGGTATCATAGCAGGCGGAAAAGCTATAGACGTTATCGTGAAGAAGTAACGATGAATATCGTTTGGCCAAACCTGGTTGCTTCTCTGCGAGTTTTGCCATCTTCGACCACTTTTCTTCCCAATAGCGGTCAGCTGCAAATCTAAGGAAGTTACGGTGATTTACACTGCGACTGGCGGCCAAACATAATCAGTTTTTGATTATGGTACGGTCAAACGTGCAACACAGTACAATAAAAAATTAATTGTGATACGGTCATGGTTTTTCGATTCTAGAAAGGTGATCGTATCAATCGATCTAAAACTACTTCGTCTTTGTGTCTTAATTAAGACAGTGCAAAGTTCAACGCGCGTCTCTTGTTGTAGTTCGGACAATTCTTGCAGTATCCATTTCTTATTTTCCTGTCTATACCAGTAAATTTTGTATTTTACTGATTTTCACAAAATTATCAGTATTGTAAATGTACTTTCTCAAGTATGCTCAAAGCAAGCAGCTTATTCTTTCTAACTTACGTTGAATCGGTTGAACAACAACATGCAACTTATTATTATTCACTACAAGTTTTGGTTGTTCACGAGGTTTATTTGCCAAATCAAAAGCGCACAATGCATTTATCAGTCGTATCCGCTACATACACGTCGTTAACTTCACAAAGTTATCCCCGAATGCTAAATTAACCAAAACGGAAACAAATAAAAACGTCAAAGTTTTAAATTTATTAGGAGCTTTTAAATCTTCTAGTCTGAACCTCATACTATAACAATTTTATTTAATTCCATTTACCGCTCTGGTTGGGTCAGAAGGTGTCCACTGCCATCCAGCAAGGTAACTGTGCCAATATGATGGGAGCTTTGAGCCAGTTAGATAAATACAAGGCGGGATTTCTTTTTAAGTTGGACGTAAATTTTCCACGAAATCTATTGTTTTAGTGCCTATTGACAAAGCCTGGTCTGGTGATGATCTTTCGGTTTTACGGTATTTTTAATTTTAGTAAAGCAAAAGTAATCAGGTAAAAACCTTGTAGTATATTTCTCTGAATTCATAATGTTTGTTTACCATAATGTTTTAATCTCGTTGTCGCAGTTCAGTGGATTTGTCATATTCATAATTTTCTAATACGTCGAAAATAACCGTCAATACGTCAACCGACATACATTTTTGGCCTTATCATCACGTATCAATGCTTACATATGTACACCTGCGCGTTCAAATATGTTCCACCAAAAATGTGCACGTGAAAAAGGGGCCAAGTTCAAGAATTTGACATAAGAATTTTTTTTATTTCTTTTTGAATAAATGGAAATAAAGTCTTGCGAAAATATTACTATTTTGCTTAAAAACCTTATTTTGTAAAAACCGCTTTTCCATGTGAAACATATCCATAACTTGACTGTTAAAAACATTGGTGCGATTTCACAAACGTGAACTTTGCAAATTACCACCCGCAATTTTCATCTATTTCTCTTTATGCACTGTCACTATTGTAATATATTTCTGTGGGTAAGTTGAGGTACCTTACAAATTCCGACTATGGCGTTCTAGTAACGAAGACAAATTGTGTCAGATCGCGGGGAAAAATACTTTAAGGTCGCTTTGCAGCAAAGTGTACTTGATACACGTTCATTAAGTGCAAACATTAACCCCTTAAAATTGCACAATAAGGTACTGTTACCTGTGTATAGAAAGGAATGAGGCCCGATGGCTAAATTAAATGCTAGTGGACTGTAAATTAACTTATTATATTCGGGAAAAAAGGAAATAACATGAATGAATGAATTGCACAAAATTAGCGACGCGTGGGCCGGCGGCGGCGGTATCGTGATCGATTATTTTCTTTTTTAATTTTATTGGCCACGTCCTGCGCGATGCGTGGGCAGTGTTGTTGTGTCTGTGCTTGACAGAGTAAACTAAAAATTCTTATTTCACAATTAAGTGTATTGAATGTTAGGATGTTTCACCACCATGCTATTCAATTATTTTTTTGTGAAATTATTCCACTAGTTTGTTTTAATTATTAATACAAACATCGAACACGGAAAAAATTGCTTCGACCCGGCTGAATTCGAACCAACGTCTCCTAGCAAACCTTTTCTTCTTAATCCATGTGAATTCTCGACAGAGGCGCCGTCTTTCTTATTTTTTGTTATTTTTACACTCCTATACGTACATTTGAACATTTTCCCCACCGACTTAACATAATAATATGACCTGAATTATCTCAAATCATACATCGAAATTCAACATTTACGCTTCGTGACGACTTGTAGAATTGTATTTTTATGTAAGTTTAAAATGTGATGCGTATTGGTTGACGATCGGTCGATATACAATAATTTCGTTTGTAGATTGTGCAATAAAGTAGATGTCAATAAACCTTCTCTACAATGATAAGCTAAGTCTTAAGTTTGGTAGATAGCTCGAGGGCAACCAGGTGGACTCGATCCAATGCTTGTTATGTATCCAGATTTGCGAACACCTATTCCATCAGGTCAACGCACTTTTATTTGCAATGGAAACTTGCGTTATGTGTATTTCGACGCGACCATTCATTAATATTATATTTTACCCTAATTATAAAGCACTTTTGGACCTAACGTTCCCAACTTAACGTACTTTAAATTATTTACGTAAGAAATCTTTTGTCGAAATTTATAGTAACTCTCATGTTTTTTTTACCAACCGACACGCCTATTCATAACAGTTCCAGTGCCACTCAGAGCTTTAAATCGCAAACATCTTAAGGGCACTGCCAAAGCGCCCGTCACCCTGAGACATAAGTTAACAAGTCCCAATGTGCCTGTAACTTCACCAGCACCCTTACCCTTTCAAACCGGAACACAGTAATGCTTACATTACTGCTTTTCGGCAGAAATAGGTAAAGTAGGAGAATATCCCTGTACGAACTGTTTCACAAGGAGCTCTCTGCTACTAAATGTCTATTTTACTTCCACAGCGGCCACCCCTGTAATTTGCTGGAATCTGAAATTTCAATTCTAAGAACACGCTCAGCAGGCGGAGAATAAATACTCTTCCTATTTTGATCACATCTTTACATACTAATATAGTAAACAAACTCATTGCATGTCTCAGGTTATAACTAATGCAATGTAACGGTTCCAAGTGCTTTAGTGCAAGAAAATTGCTACAAATGGTGAGTGTCTTAGAATAATAACGCATAGAAACCTAGTCCGCACACGCTAAGTCAGGCAAATTGAAGTGCGCTCAATAGGTCTACACGAGCGGGCGGGTCTTCAGTGCTCAAGGTCAACTTGTACCGCGAACAGATCAAGAATTTTAGCTAAAAATGACGAAATGTGCGGTAAATGAGTGTAAAAATACGTCAAATAAACATAAAATAGATACTAACATCACATTCCACAAGGAAGTAACGCGTTTC